TGATAAAATCAGCTAATTTTATGTTCAAATGGCTGCTCTGTGGTAAGCAATCCTGTCACTCTCAACTTCACATATAAAGAAGTTGCTGAAGAAGCTGGTTACTAAGGGTCACTGGGGGCAAAGTCGTGAAGACTATCAAATGTGTAACCTAAGTCAGTGTTATACTTGGTGCACAGGGTCCCGCCAGGCTCAGAGAAGGTGAAGCCCAGAACATAGTGACGGGGCCAGAAACGCCGACCTGTAAGGGGAAACAGGCAATGCAAATGAGTACAGTGAGTCACCTGCAGAATTTCCCTTTGTTCAGGGTGACCCTAGACATAAGATGCAGAAAAGCCAGTTTGGGGGTCACCTGCTTAGCTGTCTGCTACCCTTTGGTCATGGCAAAGGTGGTGGGTGAGAGCCCAGAATCTCCCCTATGTAGGGTCCATTAGAAACCACGTATCATAGTGAGGTAAATGTAAAAGAAAAGATTTATTCTCTTATGGTGTAATGGCTAATTATATCATTTCACAAGCAAATTATTGGTTTCTTCACCCGCTCTGGTATATATTTTATCAATTATATCAATGCAATGAAAAGTCAGAAATTCATAGGAGTTTCATCTCTGAAAATCCTGCATGCACATAATTTTATATAGATACAGAGATATACACACCTATATCTAAGCATATCTATTATATCTATGTATGTAGACAAAGACACTTGAAGATTTTGTAAATGACTTTATTTAGTGGACTGTTTCAGGCAGTAATTAGCATTTAGTAAATAGCTGCCCTTTTGTTTTCTATTATTATTGCATAGTGACATAGGAAATGTCCATCGTGGTCTTCTATGAACTTGACAGAGAAAACCCTCTCTGGAAGGACTCCACGAGTGCAGCAGGATGCCCTGTGGAGAGCAACCTTGCCCTCTTCTTCCTCTGCTCCAACAAGAACCCCAGAGAGCCCCTCAGTCTTGGAGTCCGCCTTGAGCCCTTGCAGACAGCGGGCTTCAGGGCTGGGGCTGGGTGTGGGTGTGGAGGAGGACCCTTCATACAGATGGCATCAGACTCCAGGTGGTGCCTGGTTTTTCAAGGCCTCTCATTGGTTTTGTGCAGTTGCATGCACCGCCAGTGCCTCATCCCATACCCAGGGCACATGTTGCCTGCAGTCTTGAGCCCACGCATACACAGCCAGCCGTGCAAAGATACCCTGATCGATGGCTTTCTTTCCTTCCCTGGAAGGGTTGATGATTTCACAGCCTCAGACCACCTCTGAGGACAGCAGAGGCCAATGTACACTGGGCCTCCCTCCTTTCCTCTTCCACTCTCTGCCCCTTGCTCCAGCTCCTTGGCACCACACACCCCAGTTGGTTCTCACACGTAAGCTGCCAACTTGGGCTTGGCCTTTCTCAAGTCTCAGGCTAAGACAAAATTACAGTGGTCCCCCAGGGACAGATGAGCAGTCAGCCCTACTGCCCACTCAGTGAGACATTTGGAAAGAGGAACATGACGTGACCGTCTTCTCCAGAAAGGAAAGAGCATGGAGATCTCGGCACAGCACCTCTGCAGGGCACAAGGACCTGTGTTCCCCACAGTCCTGTGCTCCAGGAAGAAGCCATCGTGAGGGTGGAAGGTTTGCAATCCTGCATCATCCAGCCAGGGAGCCAGACTGACATGGCCTCGGCCCTTCACGGTGCACACATGTGTGCACACACATGCACACACTCAGCCTTTTCTAGCCACTAGCCACATGTAGCTATTTAAATATACATGCTGATTAAAATAGTATTTTCAGTTCCTTAGTTTCATTATCACATTTCAGCTGCTCAACAGTCCATTTGACTAAAGGACACTCTGCCAGACAGCATGGAAAAGACAACAGCCATCACGGCAGAAGGCAGACTGGCGTTGGAAGCACTGGTTAAGAGTAGACTTTGGGTTTTAGCTAATTAGAACAGAAGTACTGGAGTCGCTACTCATCTCTCAGTGGTATCTAGGGCCACATTTATTTATGTGACAGAATAAAAGATACATAACAATGTGTGTTCTCTGAGCTGGTGATAAAGTAATTTTTTGTGGTTATATGAGGAACAATGAATGTCTGGGTACTGGAGGCAGAGGAGTCCTCAGTCCTTTTTCAAAACTAGATGCTAATTTTAAAGCCAAGCCAAATATCTCTCTCCCATGTGCTAACAGGTAGAACATCCAAAAACCATTCATTTTGAACTGTCTAGAATGTAAGATTAACAACTCCAAAACGCACAAAATAGTGGGGAAATGAACAAAACAATTAATTAATTGTTTAATGCCTAAACTTTATTTCTGATGGACATCGGTTACCTAAAATCAGCATAGTTTCAACTCAAAGCTAAGAGGGTAGAAGCTGGAAAATAACATAAGTCTCCTCACCGTCACATGAAACTTAAAATTTTTATTGTGAACACTAAAATATCATGTCCTTTTGAGATATTGTGAAGGTCGGTGCATATCCATCCAGAGTCTCTTGATATCTCCGCTAGTACCCTACAAGGGCTGTGAATCATTACATTCGGCAATATATTTATAGCATGACTCATGTCTCACTTTTGGCATTAATTACAAGCATTGTCTTTATAATTAAATATATGAGGATTAAACCAAATAGATCTATTTTAAAGTGCCTGCTGGGGTTGGTTGGCTCTCCCTAATGCCTGGTATAGCATCCTTCCCATTTCTCAAATGTCTGTGGTCCTCAGATCCTAAGCCCTCTTTTCTCAACTCTTAGCAGTTTCCCAAAGTGGTCTTCATTTAGGAAACATATGTTGATAGCTCCCAGTAATAATAGAGGCTCCCACTTATTTAGCACTTACTATGTACCAAGCCCTGCATTTCAAATCTTTAACCCAGTTAACACAACAACTGTCAAGGAGCAAACGACCCATGCTTCCTCCCACAGCTCAGCGATGCCCTTAGCAAGGGTGCCTCACTCCACATTTTCAAATTGGAACTTGCCATTCTCCCAAATCTGCCTCGGCTTCCCCAGACTTTTGTTCAGAATATCACTGGCCAGAAACCTGCAAATAACTGTGGACCCTTCTCTCTCACTGACCTTCAACTTCCAATAAGTTCCAAGTTCTATAAAGTCTGCTCCCTAACTTCCCTTCATTCCATGCCTATATCCACCACCCTACACGACGCTCTTAGGGTTTCTACTCTGGAGTCCTGCAGAGCTGCCTACCTCATCTCCCTCCATCTAGTCCTATTTCTCTTTACTTCCACTTATTCTACGTATTCTCCTGAGTTTGAGCATCTGAAAGATAAGAACAAGGTCTCCTTCAGCCTCATAGGTTTGCCTGAGTTAAATAAAGTATATGGTTTTTCAAGTGTCGAGCACATGCTAAATAAACACACAAGTGACGTGAATTGATACAGTTTAACAGGAGGGGCTGATGTGCATGGCCAACACCACGTGTGTCTGGGAATGCACACTCTTATCAGAAAATCATAATGAAAAGCAATAGGAGAAAACACTACTTGTAGGTAAAAATTGTTTGGAATAAAAACATAAATATACTCTCAAGCTGAGCAGTTTAAAATAACATGCATCTATTATTTCAGTTTCTGCAGCTCGGTTCATTAGTACCTCTGGCTCAAGGTCTCTCATGACAGAGCAGTTAGACAGCCAGCCCACTGGGACTGCGGCCTCATCTGAAGTTGGGGCGAGGGCTGAGGGGCTCTCTGCTTGCTCAGGTGGTTCTCAGCAGGCCTTGATCCCCTGCTGTGTGAGTCCCTATATCCCCAGGGTAAGTGATCCAGAGTGGGGGGGGCAGATCCCAAGATGCAAACCACAGTCTTAATAACCTGACCTCAGAAGTGACAGCCCATCACTTCTGTCACTAAGTGCAGCCCACACTCCAGGAGAGGGGACTAAACACTGGTATCTGCACTCTGGGCCAACTATGGTCATCAGCCAAGGAGAGATCACAGTTGTAGAGTGGTCTCATGGGCCCCTCTCTCCCTCCTTCTTCCTCTCTCTCTTTCCCTCCGTGACCCCCTCAGCCCAGTTGCTTGTGAAGGTCAAGCTGACCCTGAGTCCTGTGCCTGATACCTGCTCACCAGAAGATACACTCTGTCCCCATTTACCTAATTCTAAAATGGATCAGCATAGACTGTCTACTGGATGTACTACAAACTGTGAATCCCCATCAGACATTGTGAGCATAACTAAACTTTAAGCTTTACTGTGAAGCTCTAAAATTTAAAGCAATTCAGGTTATTTTTAAAAGAACTAAATGTCTATTGGAGGAAGTTTTTAAAAATATAAGTTAACAGTAAAATAATTATTTTATGATATAAAGTACATGTTTCTGAGAGGTATTTTTATTATAATTCAGTTTATTGTTACTGGCAATTGAGCATTATGGGTTGAACTGTGTCTCCCAAGGAAAGATATTTTGGAGTCCCAACCTCTCACAATATGACCTTGTTCTTAGGTAGAGTCTGAACAGAGGTAATCAAGTTAAATGAGGTCATCAGGATTAGCCCAAATTCAGTAGGACCATAGTCCTTTAAAAGTGGAAAATCTGGACACAGAAATAGACACACATAAAATGGGAATATCCATGGGAGAAGGTGGCCATCTACAAGCCAGGGAGTGAGGCCTGGAGCAGAGCATTCCTTGCAGCCCACAACTCCCTTTCTACAACTGTGAGATGATAAATTTCTGCTGGCTAAACAAAGATTCAGACAAAGAGATTCAGACAAAGAGAGAGAGGGAGAGGGAGAGGAAGAGGGAGAGGGAGAAGAACTCTATTTCAACCAGCACAAATTCATCTGGATGAGTTGACTTAAAGAGAATACACAAGGCCCCACTCCACAAATCTGATTGTGTCCATTTCTTGTACATGATGGCTCCACTCCAAGAGACTGGCACAAATGTTAGGAAATGTGCAGTGGAACACAGTTCCAGGTGGGAGACGTGAACCCCCTGGAATGTGGGGACTGGCCTCCATCCTCCCAGCTGCACAGGGCAGGACCCTACCTTCTGATAGTCCTCCTTGGACTGCAGGGCCACCTGCATCTGCGCAGTGCACGTCGGGTAGATGGCCGAGCGGTACTGGGTGCCATGGTCATTGCCCTGACGCATGCCTGTGGTGGAGAAGAGAAGGCATCAGGGTGAGTGGGCAGCCACTGACGTGTGTCAATACTTTTTCACATGGCTTCATGACTGATGTCTTCTTATGTGCTTGCTCTCATTTATTTCTACTTTTTAAAAATGAGCATGAAATGTGATCAGTTTGATTTGTCTCTTTTATTTGTAACAAATATCTTAAACTTAGGTACATTGATCACAGGTCTTGAATCATACTGGATGCTCCGTAACTAAAAAATTTTATATGAAAATATTTAAATAATAATCTATCCCTTCTTGACTATAAAGCACTACAATACACATTATTTCCTTGGGTCCTAAGGAGACACTCTGTGTGGAAGGAATTATGATCCCTCCCTTGGCAGATAAGGAAATGGGATAATGTCAGCGTAGGTACCTGGTTGTACACCTGTGACAAAGGTCATGCAGCTGGTCAAAGGAAACCGGGACTTAACATGAGCAAGCACAATTTCCGGCCTATCACAGCAGCCTAAGTGAGGACGGTGGTCTGTTTCTGACTGATCTGTCCCCAAAGGGAAGCAGCCACAGGATCACATTCTAGGTGCTCCCAAAACACTCTGGACACTTGCAAGAGAAGGAACAATGTGGACACTGACCAAAGCTCTGCCTTCCTGAACCTTTTCTTCTTTTTTTGCCTCTATTTTTTATTAGCACATGATTGTAGTACATGATGATTACACTATTTGTGAATATTTTCTTCTTCTTCTTCATCTTCGCCTTCATCTTCTTTATTATTATTATTATTATTACTATTACTACTACTACTACTACTACTACTACTACTACTACTACTACTACTACTACTACAGTACTAGGGATTGACTGAAATCAGGCCCTTCACACTGAACTACATTCCCAGCCCTTGTAAAATTTTTTATTTTGAGACAACATCGTGGTAAGTTACTAAGTTGCCAAGGCAAAGCTCTAAATTTTGATCTTCCTGCCTCAGCCTGCCCGAGAGCTGAGATGACCGGCTTGCACCGCCATGTCTGGCTATATCATTCCTTTCCCATGATCCCAAACTCCAAGTCCTTCATTGGAAATATGGGAATTAGTCACATAGTTACAAAGCCACCTGGAAACAACAATCTCACAGATGAGAACCCTTCACCTTCTATTTTCAATTCCACTTGGATTTTCTAATGAAACAGAAACCTTCCCACATTTAATACAATGTCCACTTTCTTCCTAGCTTCTTTGGTCAAACACCTGTCCAGTCAGGAGGAAAGGCAAGGACATCGTAAAGAGAGACACAAATAGGAAATAGAAAGAAAATATCAAAACCTTTGTGTACATCCTCTTGGGTCTTGAGTGACTGGAGAATACTCTCTGGTACTCAAGAATAACAATGTGAATCTGTATTTTTCCTTTGAAATTCATCTTGATGAGATGGTATAATATCTTAAACAATAAAGTATCTTAAACAATAAAAGTATATGCCTACATCCACATACATGTGTATTGCATATTTCATTACATGAATTTTGAAATTCAGAAGGAGTTCACTAGGCAAAAATGATTTGATATTCAATAGATTGAAAATTTTATAGGACTACAGATTTTCTCTTCTCATTAATATTAACACACTGCATTTATAGACATTTAGCATCACTGGACTTCTGCTCATCCTTTCATCCTCCACTGATTTGTATTATGAACCCCAAAAAGCAATTCACACCTAGTAAACATGAGAGATGCCTAGGACTTAGAGCTACTACCTTGTTTCAGGTCTGAGTCTCCTACCCACTGACTTTAATGCAAACTACTGAGTCTTTCTGAGCCTCAAACTTCATTTGTAAATCAGGGATAATAAGGGCCTCAGATTTGCTATAGATTTGCTGTGAGGAATAAATGAGATGGGTCCTGGAAAACAGTCAACTGTAAACTATTATGTGTCAAAAACTTTTCTTTTCCTTTCTTTCTTCCTTTCTGTTTGCTTGGTTGGTTGGTTGGTTGTGTGTGTGTGTGTGTGTGTTTTGTTACCAGGGATCAAACTCCAGTCCTTGTGCTTATTGAGGCAGGTGGGGGAACCAGTGATTAAATCCCCAGTTCTCAAAAACTTTTATTTTTACAAGTTTTACTGATCTTAGAACACTTCAGAACAACTGGTTTGAAACAAAAATAACAAAAACCATCATACAAGATACTCTAGGAAGAGCCCCCTTTTCCCTTGAAAAGCATGATTTACATCCATCTCTCAGACACACAGCAGATATCACAGATAAATCCAAAGAGGGGACCAATATTTGTTTTATGTGCATAGAAATGTCCCATTGAATTGTTGAATTTTTAACTATTTATTGCATTGCTTAGCAGAATTACCTTCCTAATTAAATTTTAACACTGTTAATTTCTACCCTCATTCTCCATTTCAATGGAAAACAAACCCAAGGAAGGGAAAGAACTCTCTGACACATTCATTCTGCCACCCTGCTTCACCCCACACACAGGTTTCCCACACACCCTCCTCCCTAGGTCCCTGAAGTTTAGGAAAGTAGGCCTGTTGGTGTTATCTTGTACCCCCGAACACAAGCCCACTGGGGCACTACAGAGAGGGTAAGATCTGTAGTGTATTAGAGACAATCTTAGTGTTAATAATGGCTGGAAAATCCCTCTTCTGACTATCTCCCTTCCTTTCCCCAATCTACCTATTTCAGGGAAACTACTATATATTGGGACTCAGAAACAAAAACACAGTATTATTTCTCAACTAGTCACAGTAAGGGGAAACGGAGACCAATAAGCATAATCAGGTGTTACAGTGTGATGGGAAATCTGAGTAAGGGTTTCGGAAAGGGAAGTGGGTGAGCGGACACGGGCTGTGGGGAAGGAGCCTCAGCCTGCAGAGCTGCAGAGGGGGCGAGTCTGGTCTTGAAGGAGCATAGGTGAAATGGGGTGAAAGATCCTTCAGGTGCAGAGAACAAGGTATTGATTAATTGTGGAACAGTGTGGTGCCTGGGAGACTTGGGAAAGCAGCAGAAGCTTGCAAAAGCAAGCACCACAGTCAGCATCTTCATCAAACCCCAAGGCGCTGCCACTCAAGAGGGATGAGCCCTTCAACACCAAGCTCAGAGCCCAGATGAGAAAGCTGGCTCACTAGGAAATACAATTTGATGCTCAATGGATTGAAAAACCAGACGAGAAAACCAATATCCAGGAGCTGCTGGAAATACATGAAGCAGCTCCACCTGCCTGCCCCTGCAATCGCAAAACAAATGAATCTGGATCTAAACAGGCTTTAGGATGCTGGTCTCCAGAGGGTAAAATTAACCAAAGTTTCCTTTGAGAAACGACAGAAAAAAATATTGTGGAAACATGAGTAACTCCTATGTCTTTCCTTCCTCTGGGAACAGATATATTCTCCCCAGAAAAAGTACTCAAATCATGAAAGCTATGCGCTCAACATTGTGGAGGCTGCAGAAGAATTCAGTTATAATCCTTGATCTCAGGAAATCACCTGGAGCACAGAAAGGAAAGGAACAGCTATGAGCTGTTTGCCAAGGCCATACTTCTCTCTTTAGCATTGTTAAACCCTCTGCGACAAAAAGGAAATTATGGATCAGAGACATGAAGTGACCTGCCTAAGGTCACACAGCAGGCAAATAGCTGTCCTGTGATTTAAATTTTGATCTATCTGACACCAAAGCCCTTTCTCCTTTCAAAATTGGTTCGTAAGATGTTCTATCAAAACAATCAAAGACAGGAACAAAGTGCTCCTCTGCATGTACATCAGGCTGGGAAGGGAACATCATAGCCTCAGGCCAGAAATATGAGCAGGCTTAGTATGTTCTCAGGACTGTATGGAGAAAGGGCTGGGTCCTGACCAGGGTAGAAAAGGAAGCTGGTCAGGTGAGCTTGAGGCCACCTAGGTGTGTTTTTGGTCTCCAAGGAACCAGAACCCTGGGTGCCTGTGATCATTTGTGACCTACAGTTCTCTTCCACACAGGCTTAACAAGCATTGAAAAGTTCACTGTGCCCTCCACTCGGCTTTGGAAAAACTAAGCAAATAAATTATGTGCTCTGTGTGGCTGTCTGCATGCTGCAGGAGAGCAAGCAATGGGCTTGCTGTGGACAGCGAAGAGAGCAGAAGCCTCAGGAACAATACCTGTGCTTAACATTTTTCCACAGAGCTCGAGCTGATTAATGAGGACCGGGCTTTGGGGCACTCTTGGCAAGAAATGACCTCTCGGTATCTACCAACTGTTTGAGATTTCTCCATTGGCTTTTCTAAAGACTTTAAAGGGACAAACCATCCTTGACTGTGCTGTCTTCTCCCTCCTGAGTGGAGCCAGAGAAAGCACTGCAGATTAGAGAAATGCTTAATCTAGAATGAGGCAGAAAAATAGATGAGATCTCATCTGCTCTAAGGGCCTCCTAACTGCTGCTCATCCTTGGGTACCAGACTTCTGTAGACTCTGGAGATGTAAGAAATATGTTTGAACCAGGAAATGCTAAAGGGAAATTCATGCTATGAGTTGTGGTGGTCCCATGGGTTACCACCTGATGGCAAACTGAACATCCAGGTAAGCAAGGCCAAGAACCTATGGTCTGAAATCACCACTGCACCTTAGGAAATTTAGAGGAACAATCTCTAAAGGACTTTCCTGCTAGTCACTAATGTAGAGCAACTCCTTCCAGCATGAACTCCGCCTCTTGTCTTCTACAGACTTTGCTAAGAAGAGTGTGAAACCCAGGTACAGTCATGGGTTTTGTTATGAGAAATTTCTGGATTCTAGGCCCACCTCTGCCATTTACCAGCTGTGGGATCTCAGCCGAGGTACTTACCCCATCTGACATTCAGTTTCCACCTTTGGGAAACAGAGGAGGAATAATGTGTACCACACAGAGCCACCAGGCATGTCTCGTGGGAGCCCAGTATACATCTCTCCTGGCCCCCGTAGCTTCTCATGCAGAAATTCAAGGAAGGAAACTTTTCAACATTCCACTCAAGGGTGATAAGATTCCTCAGTCAGCA